ATATCTGGACCATGGAAAATCAAACAGAGTGAGATAAATATTTTTGCTATCTCTTAAGGCAATTTTAATAGCCACTGATGTTCCCACATACTCAAAATGTAGAGTGACACTTAATACACATATAACCTGATAAACAAACAAAATCTTAACGAAAAAGTCTCTTAGGTGATGATTAGTTGGCTATACGTGCCTGTCTTGGAGGTGTGAGGCCATAGATCCAATCCCTGTTGCTGTCCATATGGTGCTGAATATGGGTCCCAGCACTTTATTTGGGACCCCACTTCTGCAAAACTTCCTCATTTGAGTACTGGAAATGAATATGTATAGCTAGAAATTTGCAAGTACTAAAACTATAGTGTGTCTTTTTATTACTTTAAATGTAAGCAACATGATTTTGAGCTGGAGTGATTAGCGCAGCGGGTATGATGTTTGCCTTGCATGTGGTTGACATGGCCGACCCAAGTTCGATTCTTCTGCCCCTCTCGGAGAGCCCAGCAAGCTACTGAGAGAATCTCGCTGAAAGTATCTCGCCTGCACGGCAAAGCCTGGCAAGCTACCTGTGACGTATTCCACATGCCAAAAAACAGTAACGAGGCGCATATGCTGCCTGAGCTCATGTGCTGCTTGTGCCCACGTGGATGAGCACATGTGGGCTGAGCACATGTGTCGCCCGCATCTTCCCTCTTGAGATGTGTACTTTCATGCTTTTGTGCCTAATGCTAGGATGTGTGTAGGGGCTCTCTCTCCGTCCTTGGAGAAGCCTGTGTATCTCTCTTGAGTACGTTACTCTCTCCCCCCCACCCCACACACACCTTAAAAATCCTCCAAACAAAATCTATTTATTTCAAAAACAAACAAACAAACAAACAAAAAGTAACGAGTCTCACAATGTTACTGGGCCCACTCACGCAAATCAATGAACAAAGGGAGGACAGTGACAATGACAGTGACCATGATTTGAAATATAAATAATGACAGATTTCATGCAAAACACATTCCGACACCACATCCTCCACTAGAACGTCAGCTTGCCCCACCCAGTGCTTTGCCTATCTGTCCTGTTCCCATCCCTCCACAATGAGAGGCTTCCTATTAAAGGCAAGTTCTCAGCATCTGTTGGCTTTGAGTATTTGTTTCTTTACTATGTTACTTTATGTCCCACACATGAAGGAGACCATTCCTTACCTGTCCTTCTACTTTTGGCCAACTTCACTCACTATGGTTCTTTCCAGATCTATCCACATAGCAACAAATTATGATTTCACTTTCTTCTTATAGTTGAGTAGTTTTTCATTACATATAGTCATCACAGATTTTTTTTTTAATTCAGTCACTGTTCCTGGATACTTGGGTTGTTTACAGATTTTGACTATTGTAAATTGTGCTCAATAAGAATAGGAGCTCAGATGCCTTTTCTGGAGAGAGTTTTGGAATAAATGTCTTTGGAATAAATGTCAGAAAGTGAAATTGGTAGGTAATATTGGAGATGAATTCCTAGATTTTTGAGAAGTTTTAATATTGTTTTGCCGAAAGGTTGGACCAGTCAACATTCTCATGAAAAGCGGATGAGGGTTTCTTTTCCCTCACATCCATGTCAACTAGTTATTTTCTAAAAGTGTTTTATGCTGACATCCTCCAGAGGCTATTGGACAGTTAGGTTTGGGCCCTCAATGACAAGACATGTGAGGCCTCAGGGGATGGGGGTGGAGCCGGCCCTTTCCTCCCCACCCCAACGAGACCCCAAGTCATCGCCCACGAACAGTCTCTCTGGCTCCTGATCAAGCTGCTTAATGGTCATGATCCAAGAGACTCAGAAACAAATCTCAGAACCCAGTGGCTTTTGGCAGAAATGTGTCCAGATACCACAGTAGGTTACTGCCGCTGGGCCACCCCAGGGGGGAAAGGGTGTTGTCCCTCCGCCTGCTCTCCCTAGGCGGCTCGGTGGCCACCATCCTCTAGAGGCCACTGGACAGTTAGGTTTGGGCCCTCAGTAACTAGACACATGGGGCCTCACGGGATGGGGGTGGAGCCAGTCCTTTCCTCCCCGTCCCAACGATACCCCGGGTCACCACCCATGAATGACCTTTCTGGTTCCTGATCAAGCTGCTTAACGGCCATGGTCCAAGTGACTCAGGAGCAAATCTCGGAACCCAGCAGGTTTTGGCAGAAATCCCTCCAGATTTAAGTGTTAAAATTTTGAAATTTCAAAATCGCATGGCCACTACTGCAGACACTCGACATCATATGCTATTCATAACCAGCAATAGAAAACAAATTGTCTACTGTTGCCTTTTCAGCAGATCTGAGTGTTGGGGTAAAATCCCAAATAATAATGGTTGGTCTGGTGTCAAAATATTGAATGTGATCAAAGTAGAGAGAGGGAGTAATTTGGAAATCATCCGCCCCACAGGTAGAGATGGGAGTATACTGAGGTTTTTGGTGGTGGAGAATGGGCACTGGTGAAGGAACAGGTGTTTCATTGTATGACCGAGACTTAAACCTGAAAGCTTTGTAACTGCTCTCACGGTGATTCAATAAATAAAATTATAAAGTAAAGGAAAAAAAAAGTAAGGTGGAGTTTATGCTCAATTCAATCAGCTAATCAGTGGCTGAATAAATAGCAGTACTCCTACATAAAAAAAAGTGTTTTATGTTAAAAAAATTTATTTTAATGTAGACAAAAGCCACAACTGTTTATACAATTCTAGAGTTGATATTGATTAGATAACAAAACTCCAATACTAAAATCAATAAGTATAAAAATAAATTTTTATGTGAAAATTGTTATATATCATCATGAGGTTGTTAAGTCCTTGCCTATGAATTTGCTAATTTGTTTGTTGATATTGCATCTTCTGCATGTTATTGTTTTTGTTGTTGATTTTAGTTGATTTCTGTTACTTTCCCCTCTAGTTTGGTGTGCTCTTACTGAAATTTTAGTATTGTGGAATTTGGAGGTGGGGGAGGTCCAGAGACTTCAGGATCTATGGTCTGGGCCAACATGATGATAGATATGGGAAGTGGGCATGGTTGCTGGGGCTTCTGAAAGTATGAGAGCTCGGGGGAGGCTGTCCACTCCAACTCCAAGAAACACCAGAGTTCTCAGACTGGGAACCAGAGTACCTGAAATTACAAAGTTTGAGGTCTTTGCAGAGAGTATTAGTGAAGTGGTGGAGTTGACCTGTAGTGATGTGGCTGCAGTGGTGAGGTGTGTGTATGGTTGCTGGGGCCTTGGCAGGGTGGGTACTTGGCCCATTTACATTCCAAGGACCCCCCCCCCCCCCGAATTTTCAGTGCAGGGACCAGTGTTTCCATGGGTTTTAGCTGCTTGGTGTGCCTCTTTCAGAAATTTATTTGGAAATTGGTTAGCAGGACCGGTGGGTGAGTAGACATGGTGGCAACTGTGAAAGGTGGAACAAAATTGGTTGCTTAACCTTTGTAATGCCTGCCAGTCTTACTGGTATGGGTGATACATCATTATTGTTTCAATTTGCATTCTACTAATGATAAGTGATATTGAATATTTTTTTTCATATGCTTTGTGGTCATCTGTATCTTTTCTTTGCGTTTGTTTCTGTTCATCTCATCCCCCAAGTTTTTGATGGCGTTGATTGTTCTATTGCTTTTTTCTTGTAAAGTTCTACTTGTGCCAGTATAACTAGAAGTTTGACACACCCAGTCATATCAGATACTTCTGGCAGACACTACAAGCAGCATGCAAGTCAGATATCCTTGGAGAGCATGAATGTAAGTACCACAACAAAAGTATGTGACCCCCTAGCAAGAACTGCAATTGACTATTGAAGCAACCAAATATGTGACCACCTGCCCCTGTATCACACCAAATGTATCGGCTCCACAATCAGTTTTAGTAATCACAACAACAGCAATTAGAGGAAAGGGAAGGGAGAAGGAAGTCTCATAGGAGTCACTGGATCAAGATATTTAGATTGGGAGCATTTTTCTGTATCTGATAGTATTAAAAGGCATGAAAAACCATAGTTCTATAGTCCCAAGTTTTTTTTCTGTTCATTTTTCTTAAATTTTTTATATTTAGGCACAAGATTTTATATATATATATATTTGAATCACTGTAAGATACAGGTATAAAGCTTTCATGATTGAATTTCAATAATACAATGATCAGATATCCATTCCTCCACCAGTGTACCTTTCTCACCACCAATGTCCTCACTATCTCTCCCACCACCCTGACCCCACCCCACTCCCTGCCTCTATGGCAGGCACTTTTATTCTTACTATCTCTCTATATTTGGACATAATGGTTTGCAATATAGGTAGTGAAAGGCCATCATGTTTGGTTCTTTGTCTACTTTCAGCACACATCTCCCGACCCAGACGATTCCTACAACCATCATTGATTTAGTGGTCTCTTCTCTATTCCAGCGGCCTTCTCTCCCAGCTCACGAGGCAGGCTTCCAACCATGGACCAGTTCTCCTGGCCCTTCTCTCTACTGTCCTTGGGTGCTATGTTAGTCTCACACTATGTTATTTTATATTCCACAAATGAGTGAAGTCATTCTATGCCTGTCCAATTCTTTCTAACTCATTTCACTTAACACGGTACTCCATGTCCATCCATTTATAAGCAAATTTCATTTCATTTTTCCTAAACAGTTGCATAGAATTCCATTATGTAGATGTACCATAAACAGTTTCTTTAACCAGTCATTTGCTCTAAGGTACTCTGGTTGTTTCCAGATTCTGGCTATTGTGAACAGTGCTGCAATGAACACACAAGTGCAGATGTCATTTCTACTGTGTTCTTTGCATCCTGGGATATATTCCCAGAGGTGACATTGCTGGGTCACATGGAAGCTCAGTTTTTAATTCTTTCATTTAAAAAATTTTTTTTAGGAAGTCCATATTTTTTCCAAAACGGCTGGAACAGTTGGCATTACTACCAACAATGAATGAGTCCCTTTTCCCCACATCCACATCAGCACTGGTTACTCTTGTTCTTCTTTTTTAAATTTTTTTAGAATATGGAATGTTTCACGAATTTCTGTGTCATCCTTGCACAGGGGCCATGCTAATCTTCTCTGTTCTAATTTTAGTCTATGTGCTGCTGAAGTGAGCACTGTTCTTGTTTTTTTGATTTGTGCCAGTCTCTGTGGTGAAAGATGAGATCTCATTATTTTTTTGCTTTATGGGGTCACACCCGGCGATGCACAGGGCTTACTCCTGGCTCTGTGCTCAGGAATTACCCCTGGCGGTGCTCAGGGGACCATATGGGATGCTGGGAATCGAACCCGGGTCGGCCGCGTGCAAGGCAAATGCCCTACCCGCTGTGCTATTTCTCCAGCCCCAATCTCATTGTTGTTTTGATTTGCATCTCCCTGATGATTAGCAATGTAGAGCATTTTTTCATGTACCTTTTGGCCACTCGCTTTTTTTTGGAGGAATTTGCTGTTTATTTTTTCTTCTAATTTTTTGGTGGATAGCTTGGATATTAAACCCTTATTTGATGGGTATTGGGTAAATAATTTTTCCAATTTCATGGGCTGTCTCTGTATTTTGGTCAGTGTTTCTTTTGCAATGCAGAATCTTCTTAGTTTAATGCAGTTGCATTATCTTTGCTTCCAACTGGTTGGTAAATGGTGCTTTATCCCTAAAGATGCCTTTAGCTTCAGTGTCATGGAAGGTTCTGCCTACATTTCTTCCATGTAACTTAGGGATTCAGGTCTGATATTGAGCTCCTTAATTCATTTTGATCTGACTTTTGTGCCTGGTATTAGAAAGAGGTCTGAGTTCTTTTTTTTTAGTTTTTTGCATGTATCTGTCCAGTTTTCCCAGCACTACTTGGTGAAGAGGATTTCCTTGCTCCACTTCACATTTATTGCTCTTTTGTCAAAGATTAAATGATCATATATTTGAGAGTCTGTGTCAGGATATTCAACTCTATTCCATTGGTCTGTGGGTCTGTTTCTATGCCAATACCATGCTGTTTTAATTACTACTGCTTTTTAGTACAGTTTGAAGTTTGGGAAGGTGATGCCACCCATCTTTCCCGCCCCCCCCCCCCCAGGATTGCTTTAGTTATTTGTGGGCATTTATTGTTCCATATAAACTTTAGAAGTGTTTTGTCTATTTCTTTGAGGGATGTCATGGGTATCTTATACGGAGTGCATTTAATCTATATAATGATTTGTGGAGTATTGCCATTTTGACATACTAATTCTCCCAATCCATGAGCAGGGGGTGTCTCCATTTCCTAGTGTCCACTTTTATTTCTTGAAGTAGTATTTTGTAGTTTTCATTGTATAGGTCCTTCACTTCTTTACTTAAGCTGATTCCAAGGTACATGATTTTCTGAGGCAGAATTGTGAACAGAACTTTTTTTTTTAAAATCTCTTTTTCCTCAATCACTATTTCTATATAGGAAAGCCATGGAGTTTTGGGTATTGATTTTGTAACCTGCCACTTTACTATAGAAAGCTATTGTTTCTAGAAACTCTTTTGTAGAGCCTTGAAGATTTTCTTAGTATTATATCATCTGCCAATAGTGATAGCTTGAACTCTTCCTTTTCTGTGTGGATGTCCTTGATATTTTTTTCTTGCCTAACTGTTACAGCAAGTACTATATTGAACAGAAGTGGCAAGAGTGGGCAACCTTGTCTTTTTCCTGATCTTAGAAGGAAGGTTTTTAGTTTTCCCCATTGATTTCCTCAATGATTCCCTAATAATGCTTGCTGTGGGCTTATGATATATGGCTTTAACTCTATTGAGAAAAGCTTCTTCGGTTCCCATGTTTGCTGAGAGTTTTCATCCTAAATGGGTGCTGGATCTTGTCAAATGCTTTTTCTGCATTTATTGATATGATATGGGTTTTTTCTTTTCTTTTATTGATATGATGGATTATGTTGATTGACTTCGAGTGTTAAACCATCCCTGCATCCCCGGGATAAATCTTACTTGGTCATGGTGTATGATCTTTTTGATGAGTCATTGGATTCAGTTTACTAGGATTTTGTTGAGTATCTTTGTATCATTGTTCATCAGGGATCACTTGTAATCACTTGTCATCCTGTTGTTCATCAATTTGCTTGAGCGGGCGCCAGTAACGTCTCCATTTGTTCCTATTGTGTGCCAGTGTAGCCCAATATTCATCAGGCATATCAACCTGTCATTCTTTTTCTTTGTGGTGTCTCTGTCTGCTTTTGGTATCAGGATGATATTTGCCACATAGAAACTGTTTGGAAGTGTTTCTGATTCTTCAATTTCCTCAAAAAGCTTGAAAGGATTGAGTTTTTTTAAAATTTGTATTAGTGAAACACCATGAGATAGAGTTGTAGACTTACAAATTTTTGTGCTTAGGTTTCAATTATACAATGATCAAGTACCCATCCCTCCACCAGTGCCCATTTTCTACCACCACAGATGCCAGTATCCCTCCCACCTACCCTCGTGAATCCATCTGGGCCAGGACTTTTGTTTTTTGGGAGACTTTTGATTACTGTTTCAATTTCCTTGATAGTGATAGATCTGTTCAGGTATTACAAGGCCTCTTGTTTCAGTCTTGGGAAGCTACAAGAATCCAGGAATTCATCCATTTCTTCGAGGTTTTCTTGTTTTATGGAATAAATATTCTCAAAGTAATCTGTGATCCTTGGAATTTCTGCATTTTCTGTTGTGATATCTCCTTTTTCATTTCTGATTCTATTTATTAGGGTTCTCCCTCTCTTTCTTTGTGAATCTTGCTAGTGGTTTATCAATCTTGTTTATTTTCTAAGAACCGGATCTTGGTTTCATTGATTTTTCAGAATGTTGGAGGAAGCTTCAATCTCATCAATTTCTGCTCTAAGTTTTATTATTTCCTTCCCCCTTCCTGGTTTGGGCTTTTTTTTGTTGATTAGTTTCCAATATTTTAAGATGTGAGATTAAGTTACTTATGTGGGCTCTTTCTTTCTTCTTGATGAATGCTTGTAGGTAGAGCTATAAACTTTCCTCTTGACACTGTTTTTGCTGTGTCCCACAAGTTCTGGTAGCTCCCGTCTTTATTCTCGTTTGTTTCCAGGAATATTTTTATTTCCTCTTTTATTTATTCTCTAAGCCACGAGTTGTTCAATAGTGAGTTGTTTAATTTCCAGGTGTTTGAGTTGATTCTCTGTTTCTGGGTCTGACTCATTAGTTTTTTTTTTTTTTTTTTTGCTTTTTGGGTTACACCTACCTGGCAATGCACAGGGGTTACTCCTGGCTCTGCACTCAGGAGTCACTTCTGGCAGTGCTCAGGGGACCATATGGGATGCTGGGATTTGAACCTGGGTCGGCCGCGTGCAAGACAAATGCCCTACCCGCTGTGCTATCTCTCCAGCCCCTGATTCATTAGTTTTAGTGCTTCATAGTCTGAAAAGATATTTGATACAATTTCCATCCTCTTAATTTTATGGAGGTATGTTTTGTAGTCCAACATGTGGTCCTTCTTGGAAAATGTTCCATGTGCACTGGAGAAGAATGTGTATTCAGCTTTTGGGGGATGAAAAGTTACATATATATATATATATATATATATATATTAACCCCCTCATTTCCATTTCTTCCTTTGTGTAATCCCTGGGGCGGCTCATTCAGTGAACTCAGGCCGTTCCCCCAGCTGGGGCAGCTCATGCCACTGGTGGACGAAGGAGGAAATGAGTACCAGGCTGCTTGGTGATCCGTTGCCGTTTATTCCATTCTCCCCACCTGCCTGTTCCAGCCTCACTAAGCCTCTCATACTAGTCTCACACTGCCCCTCATTCCCATCTCCTCTTGTCTCTCCCGCTCATCTCTCCACACTCCTTCTTACATGCGTCTCTCATCTCTCCACGCGCCAGCTCCTGCATTCTTTCCCTACATTCTTCTCCCTCTGTCCCCCTATAGTCTCTCTGTGCTTCATCTTGCTGTCCTGGTCTCTCTCCAACTCCCCACATTGGGGGTAGACACCACACCCAGTATGGTTGCAAAATCAACATATGAGAGCTCTTTCTTTGTTCACAGGCAAAATACCACATAAGGTGTTTTTCCTCTCCTTAGTCCAATAATTTAATTAACATCTTAATTAACATCTTAATTCTACTTCTTAATATTAGTTATTTTGTATGGCACAGTAAGGGATACATTGAGCTTGTAGGGTGGCTCTCCTGGGAACATCTTGACACAGAATCAGACTATAATGCTCAGGCCGTATTAATCATTCATAACCCTAGCAGGGCTGGAGTGATAGCACAGCGGGTAGGGCATTTGCCTTGCACGTGGCTGATCCGGCTGACCCGAGTTCGATTCCTCCGTCCCTCTCGGAGAGCCCAGCAAGCTACCGAGTGTATCTTGCCTGCATGGCAAAGCCTGGCAAGCTACCCGTGGCGAATTTGATATGCCAAAAACAGTAACAACAAGTCTCACGATGGAGACCTTACTGGGCCTGCTTGAGCAAATTGATGAACAACTGGAGGACAGTGCTACAGTGCAACCTTAGTAGGGTCCAAATCTAGTTATTTCTTTTTGAATCATGACAGAATTTGTCCATGACCATACTCTTAACTTACAGTTAAAACTTATGGAGCTTTGGCTAGGACCATTTTCATGCCAGAGTAGCTCACTGCTTGCCTTGGGTCCATCCAATCCCTCATCAGGATCCTGGTTTTGGTGTGCTAGGAAGTTAGGGCAACTGAGGCTTAAGATGAGAGAACAGATAAATATCATTCAGAGTCAATTAGCTCTGAAGTTACAGAAGCATACCATTAACTGTCTTCCTGTGTCTATAGAAAAAGGAATTTGCTTTGAATTAACTATGCCAAGGTTAAGGAGAAGAGAAAAAACAATATTTACAAGTTAACAGAGCACAAAGAAAGAGGTTACAAATAAAGACAGAGGAATGGGAGCACTGTGATGGGAGTAGCCCAATAAACCTAAGCTCCCTGCGGCAAGGCGGAATGGACAAACCAATGTTATCCTACATTCCTTCAAATAAAATATTTCCTTGCTGAACTTTAATCTGGTTGATCTATCAAGAGGTCACAAAGCAGTGTTGAAGTCTCCAACAATTATTCTATTACTATCAATGCCCTTCTTCAAGTCTACTAGCAGTTTTTTTAAGTATTTTGCT